ATCCGAAACATCAACAAAAATCTCTTTCAAATGAGCCCAAACAAAAACCAAACAACATTAAATTTCACTCAACCCAACAACACGGTTTGCAAACAGAGGCATAGCTGACAATTAGAAACAAAGCGGAAGCACATCTTGACGCAAACGAAATGATACTAACATCAGAAATTACCACAGGATTTCTCAGATCGAACCAAATTTCCAGAACTTGACAGTAACACAAAACGCTCAAAACTATCAAACCAATTACTCACACAATATTTATCACAGGACTTTCTGCATCACGTCATAAAACAGCATTGCAATTATAAAATAGTGTTGAGAATTACCGAACAAAAGCTGGAATCGCCGTTGCTTCTGAATCGTCGGGAAATAGGCTGAACTGATGCGTGAACATTGATGTTGGTGGAGGTTGCCGCCGTGTTGTGTCGTTGTTGTCACGGAGAGGAGGTGAGAACGGTTGAGGACGGAGACGACGATAAAGGTGACGGTGAATCAGTTGGGTATGGTACCGCGCGGCCTTTTCCTTCCTTCCTTATCCTTTGTATCGATTCTTTCTTGCCTCTTATAACCAATGAAACCTTATCCCATTATGTATTCAACAAAGACCAAAGAACCCTTCAAAAAGATATTTACTTAATAAATCTAAATATAAATATAAAATAAACTAAAACTTATTAATAAACTAATTTCTTTTTTTTATAACTATTTTTTAAATAATCAAAGTAAAACTAAATAAAAGAGCTAAATAAATAAAAATATACACAATTTTTATATTTACATTTTTTTATAAATTTAAAACTAAATCTAAACTACACTAAAAAAACTTAACTAATAAAACACATATTTTTTTGATATATTTTTAAATAATAAAGAATAATAAAAAATAATATCTAAAGAAAAAAATTGATAAAGATTTAAATAGAAAAATAAATGTAAATGTGCGAAGAAAATACAAAGATATGCGAATGAAAATCAATTCGATATATGAATGCGAATGATAAAGTTTGGAGTAAAATTTGGGGTGCAACAAGATCATGAGTGAATAAGAATTTTGGAGAAACGTGTTTTTTTTCAATCTCCTTTAATGTAACTATCTTTCAATTGAGCAATGCATGCATTATTATCTTCATATATAGTTGTTGTATTTATTTTTTCAGAAGTCAAATCATAAATCTTTTGTGTGTGTTGAACTTGGGATCACAACCAAACGCGTTCTCGACTTGCCTTATATAGTCATAAAAATTTCTTCATAATTAAATGAAGTTGTTGCTATGATTATTTTCACAGATATCCATGAAATAGTTGTACCATCATAAGTAAACAAACAATTTGTGCGATGTACCATTATGAGAATTTGACAAGTAATTTATTTCGGCATAATCTATTAATTATAATTTGGATATTTTGGAATAAAATAAACTCATGTCATTTACCCATAAGATAATGGATTATATGTTTGACTTCATTCAGATATCTTCGTGTAGGAAAGAATTATATCTTGTTAGTAGAGTTATATTAAATTAACATATTATGGTGTGCATAATTAGCAAGATAGATTAGTGCTTGAATTTCACTAGGATATGGTACTTTAGGATCAATTAGTTTTTCATCCTCTTCTCGAGGTATAAAAGAATCATCTGCACATTCCATGATCTAACATAATAGAGGTAGACAGCATACGATATTTGTCCATATAGGAATATTTTAACATTTTTTTTCTATATACGGGTTTTCTCATATAGAAACGTTTTAACATTTTTCTATATAACCTTCTTGGTGTATAAAATTTCTTTTGTCTAAATGTTCATTTAGTAAGGACCTTTTTCTTTCCCAAGTCCTTCATCTCAAATAATTTCTTTAAACACTTTATATTCAAGGACTTATGGACTTATTTGTATATCTCTCACTTAGCAAATATTCATTGAGACAATTTCAACACATGTGTCCATATTATTTTAATCCATAGAAAGACTTGTTCAATTTGATGAAGTAACTTTCTCGAGATCAAAAATTATGTTTCTCTGATATATTAAATCCTTTACGGAGTTTCAGTAAATGTCACTATCAAGGGGGCCGTATACATAAGATGTCACAACATCCATCATGTTCAAATTAAGTCATTCATGTGATACAAGACTAATTAAATATAAAAAATTAATTGAATCCACTACAAGTGGATATGTTTCACCAAAATTAATCTTAGGTCTTTGTGAAAATCATTGACCAATAAATTAAGATTTATACAATTCTTATTTTTCATTTTCGTAAGAACTCATTTATATCCCCTTGGTTTCCAAAATCAAGTCACTTGTAAAGAGAGTTTAATTTTTCTTCAATTGAATATATTTATTTTGCCCAATTCTCACTTTGTGACAATCTTTGATAGACTTTGACTCATGATCCTCATTATCATTTATCATATTTAGCGATATATTGTATACAGAGACATTGTCAACATTGAACTTATTTTGGTTCCATCATGTTCTATTAATAACATAATTTTCGAAATCTCTTATTTTTCACAAACTTCAGGTATCTAGTTAGTTCTCCTGATAATCAAAAATAAATTATGTCAAAGTGCTCTTAGAGTTTTTATATCCTCACTTCGGTTATCTTCAACTTTAATTTCTTTTCTTGGTAAAAAACTTTTAACATTAGAATCGACTTTCCTACCATGCTTCAGGCGCATTTATAACTCATTTATAATATTAGACTAAAATAATTTGTAAGTTAAGAGGAGAATTAACATATACTAACTTGTTGGCTTAATGCGAATAAATATCTTAATATTCATATTTTGTGTGTTTCAAATATCTAATTAGAGTTTATGATCTCACAAGTATCAATCATACAATTAACTTTAGACGTTTTAAAGAATGAATCTTCAAGTTCATTTTTTTTATAAACATGTGCTACAAGATGTGCAATATATACTTAATAATATATGTGATACTTATCAAGAAAGTTCTGAAAAATTCAGAAATTGAGATCTTAGTCTATGAAAACAACTCTAGTGGACCTTCTCATGTAAATGATGGTCTGAAATTTGTTTAAGGTTGCTTCCATTCCCATTATAGTTATCATGAAACCCAAGAACTAACCCTCATAAAACTCAAAAGAACATTTTGAAGGGTTTATGCGCATGTCATACTCTTTAACCGACTTGAAATATCCTCAAGATCGCCGTAATGATTACCTTCCTTAGAGATATTCAGAACCATGTTATTTATGTAGACCTCCATGTTGCATCCTATATGATTAGAAAAAACAACGTCCATCAGCCTTGATAAGTGGTGCACGCATTCTTTAATCTGAAAAGCATGAAGTTATAGTAATAGTTGCAGTCTTGGGCATATCCAGTGTGAGTATAATATCTTCTCTTAGATATTTTGAATAATGTCAACAATAGGCAATATGTAGTATTTGTATATTGGACCTTATCTTTCTATGTGTGGGTTGCATTATCATCTTAGGACTCTTATAGATTAAGTCAAAAGCTTTTGGACAAGTCAAAAATGTCAAAATATGAATTTTCATGAAAAATTATGTTTGGAGTCGACTCATCCATGTTAGGAGTCGACTCCCTCTGAAGCAAAAACGAAAACAAAATTCTCCGCCTCAAAGGAGTCAATACATAGGCTATTGGAGTCTACACTCATCATGAATGGTTCGACTCCCTCGAGTTGTGGATGGACTCCCATTGAAAGAACTTTTAAAATAAAATCTATGTTCGGGATGGGTCGACTCATTGGGCAATTAGAGTCGACTCACAACATGAAAGAGTCGACTCCCTCGAGTTGTGTATCATCTTCTATTGAAGCATTTTTTTCATTAAATTTTTTCTGGGTTTTTGAACTCGACCCCCAATGTGAATGGGTCGACTCCCTCTAACTTAAAATATCCAAATTTGTAATTTTGCAAACTTGGTTTTTTCTATTTTCTCTTTCAGAACACACACACACACACACACACACACACACACACACACCACACACACACACACACACACACACACACACACATACAAACACACACACACACACACACACACACCACACATACATATAATCATCCATTCATCATTTCAAAGTGATTGAAATAAAAAATATACAAAGTCTTTTCCATCATCTTCATCCTCTCTCATTGCATACATACAACAACTACACATAATCATTTTTGTTGTGTAATCTTAAGATAGTTTGATAAGGTACAATTATGATTCTTTGTAATCAATTAGTTTTGAAATTCTTTGTGGGTTTCAAGATAAATCCATATTTGGGGTTTCTTCTAAGATCAAGGGTTAATTTTGGAGTTTTTCACAAGATATCACAATTTGGGTTCAACCGAGTGAAAGCTTTGAAGAAAGAGGGTTTCTGTCAAAGGATTAACGGTAACTAGAGGATCATTTTGGTAATCTTGGGTCACAAATAGTTCACAATTTGGATTCATTCGAGTGAAAGCTTTGAAGAACAAGGGTTCTATCAAAGGAGTAACGGTAACTAGAGGATCAAATTGGAATTATTGAGTTACTTAATCGAGCTCAAGATCAAAGGGAGAGAAGAAGATAAGATCAACATCAAATATAGGAGGGAGACTTACCCATAGAAATGTCAATTGAGGAACTTCCTAAACAAATCCTTTCCTCTCTCTCTCTCTCTCTCTCTCTCTCTCTCTCTCTCTCTCTCTCTCTCTCTCTCTCTCTCTCTCTCTCTCTCTCTCTCTCTCTCTCTCTCTCTCTCTCTCTCTCTCTCTCTCTCTCTCTCTCTCTCTCTCTCTCTCTTAATTTTACTTGCAAATTATAAAACCATTGATTGTGCAATCGATACATTGAGATAATTTCTTCGTCTAATGTTTTAAACTATTTTGTTGAGTTGATTAAAATCTATAAGAGTGCAATTGATTTCTCGTATGAACAAAATCAAAGAAAAATACTATTTAAATTGATTGTACACCAAGTGTTCGACAAATTTCTTAAATAAGTTTTTATTTGATATTTCATTGGAAATCGATTCCTATAGTGTGGTTTTATTCAAACGTTGCGGTTAAAAATATATTGATTAATTTTCTCATCAAATGAATATGTTATATATGGTTTAACACACATCCGATCTTTTTGATAACGGTTCGAGATAGATGATTGTGGATTCAAGATTGTTTCTGCTAGTCATAGTTAAACATTTTCAAAAATGATTTTTAAATAATAAATTTAATTTGCGATCTATTCACCCCTAGATCATAGCCTATCAGCTAACAAGTGGTATAAAGCCTGGTTGATCTTGTTCTTAAAAAATTGGTTATTAGATAATGGATTCTGAACCTAAAAAGGGGGGTATAATAGAGCGCTTGTTTTTCAATGGTGTTGTACCCCAATTTTTTCCCCTAAGATCCCTTCAT